GTTTATGAAAAACTTGGATTAAGAACACTGCAAACCTGGAAGTAGGTGTTTTGGTTTGTGAACTTTGCCTTGGAAGCAGAACATGTTCCGCTTCCTGTTGAGTGTAAATTGAGTCTCCTGCTGCTATGGGAAAGCACGCCTTGATTTAAGAACGCTTTGGTTTAAGAACAGACTTCTGGAATGGACTACATTCGTAAACCAAGGTACCACTGTACCAAGCCAGTTCTGTCTCTCTTTCTAATTAGTGGGATAGGAGAGCTGAAAATAATGCCAATATATTTCACATCTGGCAACCAATGCGCCCCTTTGGTTTCAGATAGTACATGCATAAAGGTAAAGATACCCCTGCCCGTACGGGCCAGTCGTGTCCGACTCTAGGGTTGTGCGCCCATCTCACTTAAGAGGCCAGGGGCCAGCGCTGTCCGCAGACACTTCTGGGTCACGTGGCCAGCGTGACAAGCTGCATCTGGCGAGCCAGTGCAGCACACAGAAACACCGTTTACCTTCCCGCTAGTAAGTGGTCCCTATTTATCTACTTGCACCCGGGGGTGCTTTCGAACTGCTAGGTTGGCAGGCGCTGGGACCGAGCAATGGGAGCACACCCCGCCGCGGGGATTCGAACCGCCGACCTGACGATCGGCAAGTCCTAGGCGCTGAGGTTTTATCCACAGTGCCACCCGCATCCCCTACATAGTACATGCATAGGCGAGTCTAAAAAGCCTGGGACACAGATTTTCACGGCCCTCTAGCGACTACAGTGGCTCATTTACCAGAAGTAATGTATTTAGTATTAACCCTGGGAGTATATACTCAATTCTGTGTAAACTAAGCCTCCTAGGAGGCATTTGTTCTAGGAGGTTTAGTTTGGTCAGAATAGTTCAGACTGGTTTTTTTGTAGGGGAGGGAGACCCCATAGCAGTTAGAGTTGTTAACAGTTGATATGTATTCTGGTTTTACTAATAGAATCTATGTCAATCTTGAGACTTGTTTGTTACCAGAAAGCCAACTGTTCCTGTGGATGCCATCATTTCATTTCAGTATATCATAAGAGTTGTGCATCAAAGGCAGGGAAGGGCTTTCATTGCTCAATGACAGAGCTTCTTCTTTGCATGCAGAATGTTCCAGGTTCAACCTGGGGGCATTTCTAGGTAGGCCTGGGAGAGACTCCTACCTGGAATTCTGGTGAGCCACTGCCAGTCAGTATTGATAACAATAAGCTAGATAAACCAATGATCTGAGAGCCAGTGTGGTGTAGTGGTTAAGAGCGGTAGTCTTGTAATCTGGGGAACCGGGTTCGCGTCTCCGCTCCTCGACATGCAGCTGCTATGTGACCTTGGGCTAGTCACACTTCTCTGAAGTCTCTCAGCCCCACTCACCTCACAGAGTGTTTGTTGTGGGGGAGGAAGGGAAAGGAGAATGTTAGCCATTTTGAGACTCCTTAAAGGGAGTGAAAGGCGGGATATCAAATGCAAACTCTTCTTCTTCTGATTCAGGATAAGGCAGTTTCCAATATTACAGTGTTTATATGTCAACCTCAGATTCACACCATATAGGGAGACTGAGGAGGCAGTTTTATAATTAGATAACTAAGGGGATTTCTCTCTCTCTCTCTCCAAGATGATGCTTCATTTTATAAATATAATTTAATATAAATAAAAATATAAGTTACAGTATTGAATATATCTTGTATTGTTACTGCCAAGGCCTTCACAACTAATTCATGAGAGCAAATATGTCTGGAAAACTTATTTTCTTTACATGGGCAACAGAAGAGTGAATGTTAAGTCCTGAATCATCTGGGGTTTGAGTCTCAGATCTGAAGCCAGGAAACCACTTTAAAGTTAAGACAGTCTTGGCCCATGGAAATGTAAACTGGTTTGGTGTGTTCTGCTAGTGCTTAGTAGCCATCAACATTGAGCTCCCAAGAAAAGCTTGTTTATTTTACTCCATATTGCTTGAAGGTTGAACTGAAGCAAATCTCAGCTGAGCTAAACAGGATTGTGTACACTGGAGCTTACATGCTAAATCAAAGGTCAATTTTGTTCTTGTCAGTTCCACAGCTATCTGTTCTAAGGCAGATTTTTGTTATATCTAGAAATGTCTCCATCTTACGACCTGAATATACATTTACCTAAGTTAAGTTACTCTTTGGAAGAAATAAAGGATTGTAGTGGGAGACACTGTAGATCAGCTACTTGGTAAATTCCTGTCCTGATGAAATAGTCACTTTCTTGGGAGGTTCACAACACAGTAGTATTCTGGACCACAGATTGATCTGGGATTATCAGGTAAACAGCTGTAGTGCAGGCTGTTTTTTAACAACTTTGATTGGTTCACTGTTTCCACCTGTTCTTAGAATACATGGCTACTTTCATTCATTCTTCAGTGGCCCCAAGGCTAGACCACGGTAATTTGTTCTACATGGCCCAGAAACTGCTCTCTAGTTGCTGAAAGATTAAGTGGGTGACATCATATTATATTTATTCCAAAACATCTGCACTGGTTGTTATCAGTGTGTTTCTAGGCTAAGTTCCATGTGATGGTTTTGACCTACAAAGCCTTCAACAGTCTGTAGCCTGAATATCTTAGGGAGCATCTAATCTGTAGGACAGTCTTCCCCAACATGTGGCCTTCCAGATGTTTCAGACTACAGCTCTCAGCAGCACCGGTCAACATAACCAACGGTGAAGGATGAATTATAATCTAATGGCCTTTGGGAGGCTGTACGTGGAGGGCAACAGAAGGGAGAAAACTACCTTATTAGTTCCTCCTCCACTTGTATACAATCTTCCTTAATATACCTTTTATTGGAAAGCAATTTCCCTTATTTTTCGTATGCCATTTTTACTAATACATGCATTTGAATGCACACTTTACCCCAGTACATTCATTTCTGTACCCATTACTTAGCTGGAGAACTGCTTTGCAAAATTCGGAGAAGTGCCAAATTTTGAAGGGTGCTTGTGTTTCAGTTCTTTTTTGGGAAGGTGAAAATTGGGTTGGTTCACCTTTAAATGTGAACTGAATGGGAATCCCCCACTCAAATCCCTACCTACATAACACCTGAGCAATAAGTACACTCTGCCTCCCTTTAAACAATAACCAAACCACAGTTACAAATACTAACTTACCACAGAGCCATAACAGGCAGTGCGTAAGAATTACCATCACTTTTGAGTACCCTTTCTCTTCATGTGCAGTACTGTAGTTCTAAATCTAGATAGAGTCTTCAGCTAGCTATGATTTTGTCCAGTACATTGATCCAAATGATAAGAGGTAGATAAAGCAGCTGCAGAGATTACAAAAAGCTCTAAACGTGGTCTGACATCATCATACATCTGGTGACTATTATGTTGTTATACCAAACTTTGACCTCTTCTTTGGGTATAGATCTATATTCTGAAGAGAGATGTGGCAGGAAGCTCAGAGAATGTGTGGATGTTTACAATCAAGGAAAATGCATGGCACTTTTAAGAAATACTTTGGAAAGCTCATGTATGTAGGAATAATGTAGAAAGTATCTTGGCCATGTGTGATCTTGGGCAATTGGATAACAATAATTCACTTCATAACCAATGGAATATTATTGCAGCCAAACTGGAAAAGATATAAAATGCAGCTGCCTTGGCCACTGCATTGTGTAGAAGAACATCAGCAACAAGAACAAGGAAAAAAGCTGTGGATTATAGTTGAAGAAAAGTTGGAAGCTCGTGTACACTTTAGCAGGTCTAAAGTTGTGATGTCATACCTGGAGTCAGTTACTCATTTGACTGCATTAGCTGCCCAACACCCTATAAAAATTAGATACTATAACTAGTGGTGAGTAAAGAATTGTTCCCACCAAGCAGAGCTTTTTTTTTTTAAAGGCTAATAGCTTTTAGATTTGGTTAGTTTCTCATTTATTCACTTAAGCTCAGTTCTCCACATTTCTGCATCAGTTTCTAATTGTTTATTTTCAAAAGTTCACACGCAAACTCATAAATTACCATTTAAGCCTGCGTTCCTCCTAAGGCTCACGTATACATATGTGATTTCTCCTAACGCAATGCATCTTTGTATGTTATTTTAATACACACTTCCTACCAATATACCCCTTTCTGTACACTTCATTTGGCTGAAGAACGGCGTCAAATTTGGGGGTTGGACTGTATGACCCTAGGGGTCCCTTCCAAATCTACAATCCGATGGTTCTATGCTTTTTGCTTAACGTATTCCTCTACCCCCATTTTTTTGACATTGCAGATTCAGTCTCCACAAGTGACTTGAGGGTCATTCTATACATTATGGTTCCAATATGCAGAGGCTGCTCAGAAACACTTTTATGGATTGGCTTGTTGTGCCTCTAAACTCATCTGCAGGCTGTCTTTGCATGTTCAGGGGATAAGTCCTTCCAGAACAGAAAATAATTGGGGGAATTTTAACTCAAATGTGCTAGGCCAGTGATGGGGAACCACCTCAGCTTGAGGGCCACATTCTCTTCTGGGCAACTTTCCCGGCATTGTTGACCATTGGTGAGCAGGACCAGAGGCAAAAGTGAACTAAGCAATGAATGTAAACATTTAACTTTGTATAGTAGGCTAGTTTCTACGTAGACCCATCCAGATAAGCACGAGGCATTTTCACACATTCCAAGAAGGCAAAAACACTCAAAGAGGATCGGTGCCAGTGAGGGGTGTCTGGTGAGGATGTGTGGCCTAGAGAGAATCCCAAGGATGAGGCAGAAAGGCCTGGGGAAGGGATTGTATTTGGTTCGCCACCATTGTGCTAGGACAACTGTTTTCCATGGTGACCCTGGCTCTGTTTTGCCAGAAGACATGCTACTGTCACTCCAGGATTGCTGCTCCAAAACAGCATGCTAACCAAACTACATGGAAGCCAAGCCTGGGTAATGCTTTAATCATTTAGTCCGCATAGTGGCATGCCCTCATAAGGTACTTGGCAAACAACAGAGATGAGTCTATTTACTGGAATTAAAGTTTTATTGAAATAATATAATAAAACAGCAGCTTCATTTGTTCACTATGAAAGGCTTCCCAGAAGAGAGGCTGGGAGAGGAGGGGTGAGTTGCAGGATGACTTCTGGCTTCACAGGAGATGGAGGGGAGGGAATATGTTGCAGTGCAGCTCGGTGAAGGAAGGGGAAAGAGCTTTAAAGAGGAAAAGAGAAGCATATTATTACTTTTTTAAGGGTCTGTCTGAACACTTGTGAAAGGGGTGATGATTCAGCTGGGGGCTCACAAGTGTAGGAAGAGGGAGGGGAGACTCGGGGAGAAGAAGCATGAATGGATAAGGGGTAGGAGGCATGCAGAAACTGGGGAAGGAGAAAGGAATCCTTTGGAGAACAAGAAGCAATTCTGGGGAATTGTGGTGTGCGAAACTATTTATATCTTCAAAACACCTACAAGAGAATAGGATGGTTCTGGGAAGGTGACAAAAGTCAGAGGGGCTGCATGTAACAGCAACTGCATAGAGAGAGATGTATGGGGAGCAGGGCTCTATCAGAGGACTATAGTTTGTATATACTGGTATATGGTATAACCCAGTATACATACTGGTTTATATCCAGACTTCCAAGCTGTCACTATTTTTGAGTGGGGCTCAATCACAAAGTGACAGATTCAGGTTGCACAATTACAGTTTATTGGGAGATCTTGCACAACAAATCTGCTTCCCCCAAAGATCAAACTTTTTGTAATAAAGGAAGTGATGGGCAATTGCATTTCTGGACCCGTCATCATCTAACATTTCCATAAACAAATCAGGATGAATGCTCACTAATAGCCAAGGTGATTTAACCTTCCAACAAACTAATCAGGGTGAATGCTCAATAAACAGGTCATTTGGAAGCACCTTAGTCTGGTTGGTGTAAGTTCCCATTGAAATCCCTGGGGTTTTAGTCATGAATACCCCACCAGTGACAGACCTTGGGGTCTCACATTTCAGTGGCGCCCTGTGTGATGGCAACATTCAGCATCCTGTTTCTCACTCTCCATTCTAAATAGTAGTTGTGGGGTCCCTTGCAAGGCCCTTGAGGCTCTGCGCCCAGTGTAACAGAATTGGTTGCAATCGCCTAAATCCACCTCTGGTCGCACTGATTTCAATGGAATCTACATTCAACTAACTTACTCTCAAAACAAGTCACTGGCCTTAAGCCAGGAAGACATTCTTAGTGACATTAAAGTCCACTGGCATAAACATACAGGATTAGACATATATTGCAACAAAGAATATATGCAGAAAGTAGAAGAGTCACATTCTGCTTCCACTACATCTTCCAATTGGGGTGAAAATCTAGGGCAAAGGGATTTATGATGTCATGCCTTTGTGCCAAACTTAACTACAAAAATACAGCATACAAAGCATACCTTTGCTTTACCAGTTACACGCATAATTCTTTCAAAGTTACCACCACCCTGTGATCACAGGAAGCTCTCTACCTAAATATCACTGAACATGCAGACATGATGCTTTAAATATTTAGCCCATATTGTACAAAGCTCCTAAAAAAGAAGTACTAAGGGAAGAATAATAATAAAAAAATCTCAGGTTTCACTTCTATTTTTCTTCCCATGGAACTTTACACATCAGTCATAAATTGTATATCCACTGCATTCTTTTATCTTCTTTTTCTATAGCCAGTCAAAATAAGCAAGCGTTTTAATTATGAAAGCTGCAAGCAACCCAATCATCTCCTGATGGAGAAAGAAAAGCAAGTGACATTTGTATAATTATATGAAATGTGCTATGATCATGGCTGGATCATAGCCGAAACCCGAAACTGATTGCCCCCAATGTGGGTTGAGTGGAATGTGGAAGAGTGTGTATGTTATAATTTCAATGCATGCAAAAAGCTTAAAATGATTCCTAGGCAAATGGCAAAAAGGTAAATTCTTTCAAAATAAATTATTGTTCAGTGTTTCCACATCTGTACCAATTAAGAAAATGGGAGAGTTCCCTATCCACTAAATAAAGTCCCATGCTGTTTGCATGGAAATGTGTGTAAACAGCAGATCCCCAGAATGGGTACGAGCCGCTGGATTGGTGGTCTGAGTGGAATATTCAGCCAGTCTACATCCATCAGCAAAGGCAATTTGCCAGCAACATTTCTGAACACAAGATTCAATCTAGTATAAAGCAGAGGGAAATAAACTTTCTCCATATTCATTTTTTTTAAAGATGAAGAAAATAACAGTATAAAAATATGGTGCAAAAATATTTCTAACAGTAATCGAAAGAATTGGGCTACAATCCTATGTCCACTTACCTGGGTGTAAGCTCCGTAAATCCCAATGGGCCTTTCTTCTGAGTATACATGTACAGGATTGCACTGTTAGACACAAGTAGAATATGGTACGTGGAAATAGCTACATGTTTTATCTCTGATTTTATTTTATTTTATTTAAAAAATACACCTAGACCACTGGAAAATGACTGATTATCAGTGTTTCACTTGATTTCCTCAGTAAATGAGGGTGGAACAGAATACCATAGGGTAGGATGAATCAGTTATGTATTATACGTGGTTTGGTGTGGTCAAGTTGCTATTTTGCTGGTTCACTGAGACATTTTATTCCATACATTTCTAGTAAGAGATCATCTGAAAACCTCACCAAATCAAAAATCATATTTCTTTTCAAATTTAATTCTGTTATAATCCGTGAAGCCCTTATATTAAAATGGCATCCTATATTAGGCAAAAATCTGGACACAAGACATTTTTAGCTCAATCTGAAGTTTTCATTGGCAGAATGCCTTGATGATCATAAGCATTCCTTCCCCCTAATTTCAGGACTCAAAACTATTCTTGTAAAGTCAACTGCAGACAAACAAATATCCTGCTGGCATAGTGGAGCGATCTGAAAATGTGTTTAATTCACTCTTAGATATTCTCCAGGACAAGAAAAGGTATGTTACATTCACATATAATGGGTGAAAAACCTCTTAAATTAATTCACTCAGTTGTTAAAATTAATAGATTTCAAACTGTAAGATTATATTTTTAGACCATGGTGATTTTGTCAAGTTTTTCAAGGGCAGCACGCTTGATTTCCTTTGTACTTGAGGCATATTTGTAATATTTGCGTTACTTACAGATCTTCAAGGAAAGTAGATGTTGTTGCTGCTGTTGTTACTACACACTTATAAACCACTTAAACTTTTCTAAGTAGTGTACATGTATGAGAAGATAAAAGGGTCCCGGCTGTGTCTCTCCAGCCTCTCAGAAGTCAAGGACTACAAAATAAGGCTAGGACTCTGTAACCAACCAACCAACCAGGCCCTCCTGGTAGATGGAGTCTACCACACACCAGATCTACTCAGCCTACATGAAGCTGTAGCTCTCTGCAGTGACAACACCTTTGGAGTCTGTCCTAATAGGATCTCTTGGAGCTGTCCAAGGTACCATATGTTTTCTGATGGACTGTCACATTTGTTTGGACCAACCTGCTTCTCCAGTGAGCTTCACAACTGAATGTTCTTCTCTCTCTCTCTCTCTCTCATACACACACACACACCCACGCCCACACCCACACCCACACCCACCCTGCTTCTTCTCAGTAGAAGGGAATTGTCACTTTCCATAAACTCTGATAGGTCTCTTGTTCAACAGCACAATAGATTTCCCACCATCTCCTAGCCACCATCTCCCACTGAGAAACTTCATCCAACCGTTCTGACCTGTGAAGCAGTGACCTGCCTAAGAGTGTTAAATATTTCCCATCAGAGTTCTGTGAACAGGACTTTCCTACAGGTTGTCCTGAGGCAATTCTACCCAGCCAGAGCCTTGGACTTGGCAAAAGTGTATGAATAGCTTAGTGCTGTGTTACCATGGGAACTAATTGTTAGATCATTTTTCTTAAGTTGTCTGAATGGCTAGGAAATGCCTGAAAGGGGACAAATGTCAGATGTTCTTCCACCACGGCAAAGAACATCTCTGTGTGAAAAGAGACTGAAAGAGACAGAACTGAGCATGGCCTCAGTAAGTTTATGAGGCCAATGAAAATTTGAGGTGCCATATACTTTGATGTTTAAGCTAAGCTTTCCCCTCTGTGACAATTATAATAAATAAACATAAGTATTGTCAAATATCAATAATCCTCCAGTGGCCTCCTGCCACAAAGGGCACCAAACCTGGGTAAGCAGAATGCCCCAGGTAGGAGTGTGCATTGCCTCTGTGTGTACCCTGAAAAAGGAGATGAATATGGTTAATTTTGGACAGACTTTCACATTTCTAGGTCAGACCACACCATTGACAAGGTGTGTTGAAGTGCATCAGGAAGTCTCCAACTTTCCAGTCAGTCACCCCCCCCCCAAAAAAGTTAAATGGCATGCATAATCTCCCCACTTCTTTTATGAAAAATAAAACCAAGCTGACTAGGAAAATGCCCAGAGATTGTGAGGTGAAGGGGCCTACTGGGGAGGAGGGAGATAGAGAGGTGATGAGATTTTCTGACTGGCAGGTTTACCTTTTAATCGCAGGTTTAATCACAGGTTTACCTTTTAATGCACACTCTCTCTCTTGTCATAACTCTACTCTAAATTTCTACCAGGTTTTACAATCCCAGTAGAAGATTTTAAAATTTGGGATTGCACTCTTGCGTCGTTATGCTCATAAATGTTCATTTGATCAATGAGCTGTACATGAATGCAACTCTGCAATCATGACTGCACAGGTTTATTGCCAAGCATCACCAGTTCATCTCTGGGGCTCATGCTCAGACAAGGGCATATCCCATTTATTTCAATATTGGTGACAGCTCAGTGTTCCCTGAAGTGAAACTGGCAAGCTCCCTTGCTGAGGTAAGGCCTTAGGACTTTACTGTTAAAAGTTAGAATCTGCATAAGCTTCAGTGATTTCATTGAGTATAAGAATGCATGAGTCAGAATTGTAGCCTGAGGGTGTCAGGCAGTGGCAAGATTAGCCATTAATAGGGATTGGGAAGAAATTGTTTTCAGGTAGTATTTCAAGATAAACCTAATACACACTTCCTGAAACAGCATGAGACACAAAACACAGCCATCTTTTGAAATTTGCACTTCTCTGAATGTTACTGTGTAATTCTCCAGCCACTTAATGCGTACAGAAATGAATATACATGGGTAAAGTCTGTGTAAATGACTCAGAAGCTTCAACTGGTCCAAAATGAAGCAGCAAGACTGCTGGCTGAAGTGCCAATTAGATCACATATAATCTTTTTTAAAACAGCTGCATTAGGAGCCAGTTCTTTTCCAGCTCCAACTAAAGGTGCTCACATTAGTGTTTAAAGCTAGAATAGGCTTGAAACAGCTGAGGGTCACCTGCCTCATCAAGTCCAGATGCTGCAATCAGCATGCAAAGTACAAAAAGGGCAGCAGAGCTGAGGTGCAGTGTCTGCTCAACTGACTGTGTTAATGGACCTCAGCTTAGATGTCCTAGGAGTTCTGCAGGACTGTGCTTTGGTTTGGACACGTAGATTGGCCCAGGGCTCGGGACCTGATGTTCTGACTTGCCAAGGTAGGCCAAGGGTTCAGGACAGGCCCTCACATTAAGTTGGGTGGTATAAACTAACCTAAGCAATTACTGGCATTCCAGAAGGACAGAAAATGTAATTTATTTAATTCTATTTCTGCACTGTGGGGAGAGTGCGCTTTTTGGATTTTCTTTCAGAGCTTTTAAGATGTCCTGGGTCATTTCTGCATATATTAATTGCCTGTACCTTTATTGATGAATTTTAGTTCGTTTGGAACACTTTTTGACTGTATCTGTTCTATACCTCTATCCTACCACTTTAAACAGTCATAGCTTCTCCTAAAGAATCCTGGGAATTGTAGTTTAAGGGTACTGGTAGTTGCTAGGAGACTGCTATCCCCCTCACAGAGCTACAGTTCCCAGAGTTCCCTAGGAAAAGAGATTGACTGTTAAACCAATCATGGAGGCTCACATTTGCTATGTCTCCATTTTAAATATCCTGAATTCTTTCTTTGCCAACCATGGTGAGCCACTCTTTTTAGAAACTGTGCCTTAAAACCTTAATAATGACATGTTGACATGGATTGTGAACCAAAGCTGTTTTGAAATTGAACCGCCACCTCCCCAGTCACTTCCGCCTCTTTAAAGAAGGATGTAAATAGGAGCAATTTTGAACATCACATCTCCTTTAAAGCTTTTGATCATGAAGTTAGCTTGAGTGACTCACAGTACAAAATCCCTTGAAATTGAAGATAGATGGTTGAATGGTGTATCTAAGCATGACCCAAACAAGAATACTGTAAAGAAAAGAAAATCACTTCGTGTGATGGGGAGAGTATTGTTGAATTGTTCAAATGCTTTTGGGATCAACTGTGCAATCCTGTGCATATTTACTGGAAGCAGGTCTCCCTGTGTTCAATCAGGGTTTACGTCCTGATAAGTGTGTTTAGGATAACAGCCTGAATTACCGATTTATTTAGCTTCTCTATACAGCATCTCTTTAAAGATATTCTTTCAATTGCTGTGTTGAAAGAATTTCCATTCAAAACATAAAGATTTTCTGGGTAGACAGAATAAACGTATGCACGATTTTAGAGGGATATAGATCATCTAAACAAGATTCTCTTTTTACTGTGAAAGGAAATGTGTGTTTGTGTGTGTGTGAGAGAGAGTGCCTTCTAAAACACAGGAAATTAAAGCAGTGGGCTTTCAACAGAAGACCTCTGATAGCTTCTTATAATTGCTTTTTTGCTATTGCTTCTTTTATCAGCAGTTTCAAAGGACGTCAAAATGCATGTATTTTGCACAATAGTACCAACAATTAAGCCACAGGATACCGAAAGGTGATTGGCTTATCATCTGAAATTTTAGGACTGTGTTTATACTGGTACAGCATCAGGGCAGGCTTGAGGGTCAGGGAAGGGGAGTTGCTTAGGGGTCAGCAACCTAAGGCCCATGGCCCGGTAGCGGCCCACAAGGCTTGTATGTCTGGCCCATGGCAGCTCCTGCTGCCCCCCGCCGCCACCACCCACGCCGGAAATAATGTGTGCGCATGTGCACGGGCACTCCTCCAACCCAGATGTGCACTGGAAATAGCATGTGCACACGTGTGAGGGATGGAGAAGCGTGCATGTGCACACGCTATTTCCGGTGCACTTCCGGGTCGGAGGAGAACCAGAAATAGCATCTGTGCATGCGCACTCCTCCAGCCTGGAAGAGCACACATGCGCAACGCTCCGGCCCATCCTCCGACGGACGGAGCATCAACTTGTCCATCCTTCAATAAGGTTGCTGACCTCTGCTGTATTCTATAGCAATTCCATTTCTCTCTCCAGGCTCTCCGTCCATTGTGTGTGTGGGATGTCTAAAGCATGGGCTGGCAAACTAAGGCCCGTGGGCTGGATCAGACCCAGTTGCCTTCTAGATCCAGCCCGCGGATGCTCTGGGAATCCAGGCAGCCGGCATAGCACACAAGCACGATGGTTTTTGCTACTCAGCCAGGCTTAGGGGTCAAAAGTGGACGGCTGCTCCTTCTCCATCCATCGCACATGCACAGCAGTCTTTTCTTCTGGGGTGGGGGGTGGGGAAGAGGGGAAAGGGGCCACAGTTTGGATTTCCACCATGGAGCTGCTGGCGACTGATCTCAGGAAGGGCAGTTGCGGTGGCAGGGGCTCAGAGGCACCTCGGGAGCAACACCTGCCAGTGTCTGTGACGGCGGTGCTCCCCGCCAGAGGAAGCAGGGAGCGCCTGGATGGCTGCATGCTGAAGCAGTTCTGCTCTCTGCTGGGGAGGCTGCTTGTTAGCTACACGGTGTGAGTCATGGAAAGGTAAATAGCCGCCTCTGCCTCGTCTTCCCTCACACGGGTAAAAGAACGTTTTTGCTTGAGCGGCACCAGCCTGACTTAGCATGGCCAATGGCTTTTCCCTTCACCCACGCATGCACACACACTCTCCAGGGCTGACAGGAATGGCACGCTTACCTCAGCCCCCCACCCCACCTTACGAGAGAAATAATAACTGTCAACACGTAAAACACAAAGGAAGCAGTGTGTGTGTATGAGGGAACACTCGCCCCCCCAAAAAAAAATTACATTTGGGCACCATTGGGGTCGGTCCCAATAAGGGTTTCTGCCAAAAAATGCAGGTCATAGTCATGGCAACATATAGTCTGGCCCCCCACAAGGTCTGAGGGACAGTGGACCTGCCCCCTGCTGAAAAAGTTTGCTGACCCCTGGTCTAAAGGGTGTGTTTGGTACTGGTCAATCAGAACAGATTAGGGATTCTGTTGGTTTACCATCCACCTCTCTGTGTTGGATAAGTTTCAGTTGGTAAGGCTCAAGCATGTGGACAAGGTATGTGGATCAGTCAGGGTGATTGCTTGTGCTCTGGACTCTTGCCCCTCTCAGCTGATAAAATGTAGCAGGGCGAGGACAGCTTACTGGGCCAGGCAGGTGATTATTACCTCCTTGTGAGAGAGTGCTGGCATGCTTTAAGGAGACAGTGGTAAAATCACTCCTCAAGAAACCCTCCCTGGATTTGGAAAATCCAGTTGCCAGTCTCTTCTTGGACAAGTTATTGAGTGGGTGGTCACAGATCAGATTCAGGTACTCTTGGAGGAAACTGATTTTCTAGATCCATTTCAATCGAGGTTTAGGTCCAGTTTTGGCACAAACTGCTTTGGCCACCCTGTTTAATGACCTCTGTCAGGAAGGAAGCAGGGGCCATGTGTCCCTATTAATTCTCAATCTCTTGGTGGCTTTCAATACTATAACCATGATATTCTTTTGGAGCAACTATCTTTGGGGAATGGGGGGTGGCACTGTTTTCCAGTAGTTCTCGTCCTACCTGGATAGTCATTTCCAA